GATACTGTCTTTAATTACATGTTTTGATTTCCAGTTGAGCATCACTGAAGTTTTGAAAATACAAAGCATTGTGTTTCATACATCACAGTGAGCTTTGATGGATATTTTTGGCTTTTAAATCCTGTATCCGAAAGTCAGACTTGCAGCCTCTTTGTTAAAGTGATACGGGTAAAAATGAACGGAACAAATATAAAGTATTCTCGAAGTCAGACTGATGTCATCCAGTCACGTGATTTCAACCTCCGTTTTCTTATGGGGGAAAACTGCAGCTGAAGGGAGCAGGAAACACGGTAATCTCGTGGAAAAAAACACCGCTGTCCATTGTCTGTCTCATCTTTCTCTTAAACCAAAAAAAAATGACCCCCCAGACCTCCTTTTTTACTGAGGCTCAAAGTTATCTGACAAGCAGTAAAAAATCTACAGGAAGAAGAAAATAAAAACAGGCGAAATTTGAATGGAGATTGGCGGCAATGACGAGCCAATGAGAGCAGGACTTTATTAATTACATCTGTGACTTTAACCTGTTTGGATTTTATAGTTAGTGTGTAGTTTTGAGTGTTTACTCTTCATTTTAGCCAACTTTAGTGTGTTTTACATCAAAACAATGAGGCATTTTTTAACAAGGAGAAGCACGGAGGTCTGCAGAGGCAGAACGACAACACATGTCTTATTTCTCTCCCCTCAGTCTTACAGTTAGAAAAAAAATTATCTCTGGATGTTTTTTTATGTGAGAAGTGCAGTCCTACAGCAAATTTTCATCATTTTTCCTATTTTCCTCATAGAGGAACTCATCCTATTTTCCCCCAAACCAATATGTCAACCTCCGTTTACAACATGGTCACGTGACAAAGTACCCGGCTGTTCGACTTTGAGAATTGGCTGGTCCAAAGAAGCTGTAATGAAACCTGAATGGAATATTTTCAGCATGTTGAGTGTTTCTTATTGGTCAAAGGTGTAAAGTATTGGTTGCTTAGCCCTACCCTTACATTTTACACAGAGACCCCGGGCTGTTCTGGTCCCTTTTGTGATGCACAACCTCAATTCCAATGAAGGTGGGACTTGAGTTGCTTGTCTTTGTAGTGAATACAAATAAATATAGGTTGAAAAAGATTTGTAGACCATCGTATTCTGTTATTTGTTTTACACAACGTCCCAACTTCATTGGAATTGGGGTTGTAGGAGTAATGAGAAGTGATGAAGACTTTAAACATACGCAGTTTATTATGAGCGTTACAAGTGATCAAGTTGTGTAACTAAATCCTTTGCTTCCAGTCCATTTCATGATTCAATTTTGTTACAAATTCCAGCAAAAGCACATTTTTTCAACTAAAGGGAGATATTTCAATTACTGKTTCCTGTAACTTCAAATTAAGGGATATTAAAAACATTTGGGATAGGCTGAGGAAATAGAACTTAATGCATATTTTGAGAAAAGAAAAAAAACTTCAAACCTGTCTATTCCTGCTCTTAACAATATTAACAATAAACCCTTGTGTTATAAAAGGTGTTTTTCATGTCAYTTTCTCACTCTAATAGCTAGATGGTTCTCTAAATTGGGTCGGTTTTTGTTCACTAATTTGCTGGTATTTAGCTGTAATTGCATTTGCTAATCCAACAATAGCCCCCTTTTCCCCCTGCCCCACTGTGATAAACAAGTAATTGTTTGGGACACAAACACCAACTGAGGCTAGTGCCACTTGTYGCAACAGTTGATGTGATAGAGAGAAGGGCATTGATAAAGCACACTCCATTAGCGCTTTGCTAAACCTTCCAGGGTTTATGTCATTACCGTCTCCGTCACCCTCACACCACGCTGGGTCCTGCTCAGGTCGGAGCGCTGGAACACTTTCCCATGAGATTCGCTGACAGCTCTGTTGTGAAGGAATTTTGTTTGTTGTAGTTCAGTTTTTTTTTTTTTATTAAATCTGCTAAAGAGACAGTTTAGGTGATCATTTGTCACTMCCATGATGACATCCAGACCTGCCATGCCTCCTGGAGATTTAGTCCTTAATATTCCTTCTGATAAAATCAGGACTTCCTTCATCCTGGTTCTTTTTCAAGCTATGACTATCCACTGGAGATACCCCATCGTCTCCACTAAATACTGCCAACTGCTGGCACCTGCTGCCTGGATACCTTGATCCCATTCTTCCCTGGAATGCTTTTGACTGCCTTTTTCTTGATCTATGGTTTGCCTACAGGACCTTTATGTGCTGTTGCTCTGGATCCATGGTTCTCACCTGGGATCCATTGCTCTACCTGCTGGATTGTTGTTTTCCACTCGGTGTCTGTAAGGATGGCACAGGACTGTTGACTGCTTAACCCTGGTCATCGAGGGCCACTGTCCTTCAAGTTTAAGAGGTTTATCTGCTCCAACAAACCTGGTTTGAATCAATGAGTGATTAACAGGCTTCTGCAGAACACGAAGAGGGGTTTCAGTCTCTGAATCAGGTGTGTTGAAGCAGGGAAACAGCAAATCATGCTGTATAGCCACCKTTGGGGACCAGGATTGGACACTTCTAGTTTGGAACATCATTGAAGACTAATCATTTTCTTGGGATGACAATCTCTTCTGTTTCGTTGGTTATGGAGGTTTCTTCAGACACTAAGCTACTCTGTTCTTCAAGCTGAAATCCCTGATGGTTACCAGGTCAGGTCAAGACCATATTCTGTGATGTTTTTAAAAGGATTTTTTTAAAACAATGCGATTTTGTTTCAAGTCACTTATTAGACCAGTTAATGTCCTCATCTATAAAATTTTCCAAATGATTTTGGGGATCTTCTGTTCCTTTTGTTCTTTCAAGATGTTTCTGGTCTTTTTCTCTTTTCATTTGACCTTTCTCCTGAACAATCAGAACCTTTGGCCTGATTTGGAGCTAGTTTGATAAGGCACCACTGTCTCTCTACATTCTGCTGCTCTGAGTGAATTTAGATGTTTTAGGTTTAATCTTTTCGTATGAAACAGTTAATAAACCCTCAATAATAAAAAATAACTGGAAACCCTTCCTTTTACTTTTAACTGTGCACGTTAGGGCACATTTTTTTGTCCGCTTACGTCATTGCACTGCTCTGTCCCATGTTGTACGCACATACTAGAGTTATGGATATGGCTAAAAAATGTTTCACGATGTAAGCGTTTCATATCGGTCAATATGGATAAATATTGATTACATTTTTGTTCTGTTTGTTTTACCTATTTGAAATAAGGACAGGAGACACAAGGCTGATTAATTCTGCCAAACTGGTGACGTGACCTTTCCTCTTTTATCCACAATTTCCTCTCGAGCTTTTGCATCATTTTCTCCTTTCACTCCACTTCGTTCTTTTACGGAGTTACGAAGCACGGTTTACGTGTATTTATTTATGTGTAACTTTTTTTTATTAATACTGAATTCTATGAAATTATACCTCCTGTGAAAAGAATTGTGAACAACTGAAGGCATGTGATTAAAAAACATATCGTGGTAACGATTATTCCGTCTCATCTCACAGCCCTTTTATGCAGCCTACACAGACTGAATGGGATACAGRTATGGATTGAATTGTTGCTTTACTGCTTGTATCTGYRTAAAAGTTGCATTCCTGTACACATATCTGTGCCATGTTCAGTAGACTCTTGTTTATCTGGAGGTTTTAATGATGAAAGCCTTTATTGTCTTCYTTTGTACAATGAAATGACATTTAAGAACACCCATTCAAGAAGACACACACATGACAAAAACATGGGGGAACAGGTATTCAGGTCATGCAGCAACCAGTTGGGTCGCGCTACCTTTAAAAAGCTTGGAGGAAAAATGAGTTAAAAATGCCGTCATATTTAAGGTTTTACTGTCAGTTCTTGTTAAATCTTATATCAGTCTTGCTTGCAAAGGCGGACTGCTTTAAGGAAAGCTGCATTTAAGTCTGTTGTAAGCAACAATAGTATCAGTTCTTTCTGAGGGCAGACTCATGCCCGTCTCAGTGTCCCAGATTAGGTAGAACCAGGGATTAGCAGGGAAAAGAATAAAGCCTTCCAAGGAAAACAGAAGAGGAGACGAGGGGGGCCGATGGATCCGAACCTCGGAGTACTTACCCTTTCAGAGATTACACCGCTCACCTAAACTACTTGGGCATGTTTCAAGAGGTGACAATTCCTAAGCTGAAAGCTTTCGTTTTCCAGGAACTGGTCAGTTGTAGCAGCAGCAGCTGAAGGTGACTTTTTGACCTGCAGGTCATTGATTTGCTTCACGGCTCAGAGGAATTTTTCTACATTGTGCACTCGAGGTTCAGCCTGCTTCAGATGACCGCAGCTCTGAATGAAATGTGAGCCTCTCTCACAGGAGGCTTAGTGCAGCGTAACAGAGTAGACACAACATGTGGTGGGTGTATTCTCACTTCCTCGGGAGCTACACTTAGCAACGCTCTTCCAGTAATGCACATTTAAGAGGAATTCAGAGGCGTTTTCATCTGAGAAATTGCTCTATTTTTCTTTCTTTGTTTAAATTAATTTGCGTAGTATACGTGGATAAAAAAGGTCACACAATCGGGACAAAGAACACAGGTTTGATAAACACCAAAGATATTCTGACAGAGCTGCAACATTTGACACATTGGGAAGAAAACAAAGTAAATTGAGCACTTTAAGCTGTATCGCTGGTTATGATTCAGTTTTTTTTTGCCATGGCTTGGACAGAAACATGTACAAAATTTATCACCAGTGTCACAAACAAACTGCATATCATCTTCCACTTTTCATACCAGATTTGTAGGTTCTAGATCAGGGATGTCCACTGCTGGTCCTCGAGAACCACTATCCTGCATGTTTTAGAAGTTTCTCTGCTTCATCTCACTATTTACTAGCTTACACACCTTTGTTGTTATTGGTGTAATTTTTATTTTGGTTCTTTTGCTTTAAAATAAAAAAAAACCCAGAGTTTTTGACGAYAGCGTTGCAAAAGTAGACCTTTCTCATCCTTTAAATCCAGTGTAATCTGATGGTGTATTCCTGTGAACTCTTCCAGGCTGGATCCCGTTCCTTTTGTCTCGCTGAAAGTGACACCCGCCTCCAGCCCTGGCTGCAGGGCCGACAGATATACCCTTGGAGACCCCGACATCTACCGGATCCTAAAGAGTCGCGCCAAGGTACATCCCAACTTCACGAGGGGTCAGCCCCACCCCCCGACCTCGCCCTGCCTGGAGCCCCAGGGACGGGACTCCGTCTTGTTTCACGGACTGAGCCCTACCGACCGTCGAATGACGAGCGTGCTTTGGAGGGCGGGGCTTGCCTCAGTCTCTCGTGATTGGCTGCTGGATGGAATTGAGGTGAATGGAACACATGCCCAAGGAGCAGGACTCTAACCCATCAGAGGGAGAAGAGAAACAGTGAGTTTGCACCGGCGTTGTGTTGTTTCATGTCAGGAAAAACTAGATTTTAGTTTTTACTCAACGTCTGTGTCGGAAACTCTGATTTTAAATCTTCTCTTGCCAAAATGTTAAAAGTGAAATGTTGCATATTTCTGGTTTTACATCTCGATCAAACTAAAAACAGCATCTCTCTTTTCTCTCGTCTGAACTCTTTAGAACTTACATCTGTAGATCCAATGTTTCAGCTTTTACTTTGGTTCTTGAGGAGCCGACCTCTGCAGACTGACATGAACACAAACAAACACAGCACTGTTTAAACCCCATCACATTAATGAAAACATAATATTGTCAGAATGGAGTAGCAGAACCAGAGAAAGGGGGCAGAGCCTCCAGACAGAAAAGATTTAAGGGTTATCAGTCAAACTCTGGACGACTCAAAATAGGTTGAAACTGCTGAATGACTGAGTTATTAAGTCTGGGAATGCTTAAAGGGAGCCCTGACTGGCTGTAATATTAGACAGTATTTGATAAACATTTACTTCAACTGTAAAAAAAAGATTGTATAAATACTGTAGGATGTTTAGTTCTTTTTTAATTTTATAAAAAAAAATATGAACACACTGACGGTGCCATGTTATTTACACCACAAAGCCTACTGGGTAAATGATGACCTTCACTAAGTGTTCTGGTGCAACCATCCACCCTGAGGGTTAATTTTGGACAATATCTGATGTTCAGCCTTTTTAAATAAAACCGGAGCGCCTTGACAGAGAGGAGAATGTAGAAATGACTCAGCTTATGGAGGACAAGCTTCATGGAAGGAGAACCGTTAGCCTTTTAGCCACCGTGTTAGCCCCTGAGCTAATGTGGTGATATTGCTGGGTTGCAGATGACGTAGTATCATGAAATACAGATGGGGGGCAGGAAGTAAATTCATCCCTGCTTCCTTCTGTTGATTCAGCATCAAAAGGCCTAAATTCTGTGCCGTGTACYGTTAGCCTCTCWAATCGGGYGAAATCTAAAAACATTGTGTTCCAAAACAAAATAATTGTAGTTTTGAGGCTTTTGAAATCTTTCTTCTGGTTCGTCTTATACGAGGTCTGCAGCAGCAGATAGTTTATGTCAATCACCTCGATGCCGGTAAATCCTCCAGATTATATGACAAGTCTTTTTTTGTTAAGACAATATGGATCGTATCCTAAATGTACATGTATTTTTTTCGCAATATCTTGTCTGCACCAGCCCATTTTTTGGCATTAGCGTACTCAATGTGAAACATTTTGTTGTTTTTAGAACCGTAGCAAACCACTTCCTGCCCCCCATCCGGGCACAACATCTAGGTCACGTGACTGAAACCCAGCAATAGCATAAGAGCTTGAGCTAAAAACGTTAGCTCTGGAACTAACGCTATATATATAACTAATAAATATGTGGCGTTAGTTCATATGTAGCTAACGCTATACTGCAATATATATTTATTAGCTTGGATGCTAACGCTAAAGCACCATGTGACAATATATTTTTTAAGATTTATAAAAACTAAATGGCCTATAGTATTTTTATAGTCTTTGTTTTGTAGTTGAAGTAAATGTCTAAAATTTCAACAAGTTGGGGTTCCCTTTAAAGCTGACACTCAATCCTGATTAGTCATTTCTACAAACGTGGAAAGAAGAATACGTTTTATATTCTACGTTTCTGAGAAAGTTCATTTCTCATCATTGCATTGTTCTAAGGAATACTGACTTTATTTATAAAAAGTATTTACTGTATATGTGTGGGACTGAGAAGAGAGACAGTCTGCTGCAGTTCGATGAGAAGCTTCATCTTTGGAACTTCTTTTACACTCGTTCATTCTTCGATGATCCCTTCAGTTGAACCCTAACCCTCAGGTTTATAACAACAATAAAAGCGGTTCATGTTTTATTGCCGTGTAGCTGGACTGGCTGAGTGCCTTTACTGTAAAGCAGCATCATATATCCCCTCCTCTGTGTAAAGCCCCCCGTACAATCTCAGCTAACACGGACACCTGTCAGGGGCTCACAGGCTCTCCCTCTGAGAGGACAGTTGCTTTCAGGCTTTTAGAAATGAACGTCTTTTTTTTTTCTTCTCTTGTCACGTTTGGGTGTATATCTGCTCCTTTTTACCCTAACATGGCATCATATTCCAGCTGCAGCTCGTAGCACATTAGACAGTTAAAAAGTGGAAGATTTAAGCTCAGGAGGTTTTTGCAAGTGAGGAGTTGCTTCTTTGATCGCATCCTAACGTTGTGTTCTGCAGTAAAAGTGGACTTTTATGCGCTGCCTGTCAGCCTGTAGCTGTTTACAGGTCTGGTTCTTTATATAAAAAAAACAGGAGGGAGTTTCTGCACAACACTCCCAGCAAACAGTGGATTTCACAGTGGGCGATGGGTTTTGATGCTGTCTCTGAAACCTTTTGAAGCCTCTTTACATCACGTTGGATTGCATCATTTTTTCAAACATGTCACCTCAGCTGATGCAAGAGTGCAAACACTTTGTTACTTAACAGTAGAAAAGGAAGTGTCTGCTGATCACACCTGACTGAGCTCTGCAGCTATTTCAGCATTCTAGTGGAAAAAAAGGTATTTTATTTTTATCTGGACTGCATTTATYCCCAAGAGACATGAGCTGGTATAACTCAGGGGGTTCATCTGATCAGGATACCTCCCTTTGGAGGTTTTTTATGCATGTCCTAGGARGCCCCAGGGTAGACCCAGATCTTTCTGGAAGGATTYGTCTGGGAACACCTTGGGGTCCCTGAGGAGGAGCTGAAGKCTGTTGGGAAGAGGGAGGTCTGACTTTCTCTCCTGGACCTGCTGCTTCTAATATTACTTCTTCTGAAGCCTGCTGAGCTGATATTACCGTATTTATTCAAGTCCAATACGTACAATTAAATCCATAAAATCATACATGAAGTTGGGGGGTAGTACTATACTCGGATAAATATTTTTACTTATGTATTTTAACTGAAAGATCGGCTTCATTCACAAAACGCATAAGTCCGGAAATGAGACCTCATCGTAAAAAGCAGTTGAAACAAGCTCACCTGTGACACTCCTCTGTGCTTCAGAACGAGATAATAACAGATCCAGGCAGGCAACATGATGTGAAAAAAAGTGGGGAAAAGCAGTCCTGCACCTCAGTAATGATAGCGAACTAATGACATTAGCGTGTGACCGGGCCGCTCCTCAAACAACAACAAACTCATGTTCATCTGTAATGGCTGCCGTCTACCGGTGTTCTGAAAAAGTTTGTATCCCTGAAAAAACATTTCCCCACCAGAGGGGGCGCTCGCGAGTAGGAAGTAATCTGCTTTTCCCCCACAAGCTGGTCCAAATCTTATATGAAGTCTCTGACTTTTGTGTTGGCGCCTATGTTTGTTGTCAAAATACATTTTAGTACATACATGTAAGTTGTTAAAATAAAATGAACAGTCCAATGATCATTTTACTGATA